CAGCATTTAAAGGCAACAAAGGCCCGTTGTTGTCCATTTCTTGCTCAAAGTAGTGCATTAACGAGGCCACGAGTTCCTTACACCGACTATTTAACTGTTTGGGCATCTTTATATACCAAAATTGCCTTTATCTACTCGTAAAATGAATAATTTTGTTTTGAAACAAACAGTTGTTGATTTACAGTATGCGGGGCCAAAGGATTTATAAAGATTTGAAATGCCACAAATTGATTCAGTGTCAAAATTAATACAAATGTCAGTTCCCAGTTTAAATAAGTTTCAAGGTGACAATGTGTCAACGCTGCGAAATCGGTTTAGTGCGTTTACATGTCGATAAGTGATTGGAGCGTTTGCAAAACATTTTATTTCGCATAATGCGTCTAAATTTATCAGAAAGCAACTTATGTGATATTTTAATAACAATGTTTATATGACTATTAACCATAATAAGAGAGTAATGACCATTCTACAATTTATATATCACATTAATATGAAACTGCAATAGAGCAATTGTTTGTGATAGAAACCTAGGCATTAGGTCGGGGAATTTTTATCGTGATGACGTGCACGCCACTTTGTTTGGCGTTGACTATAGTGTGGTATTCTTAAATGGTAAATATAGTAGGAATGAGTGGTACGTAGATAGTGGAGCAAGTGCACATATGACGGCCAACAAAGACTGGATAAAAAACGCTAACTTTACCCCGTGTTTATCCGAGATCACCGTCGCAAATAATACTAAAGCGCCAGTTTTGTGTTCCGGAGACGTTCAGATATCAACTAACTATAACTACGACATCATAGTTAAAGATGTGCTATGTGTACCGAGCTTAACAACAAACCTGTTGTCAGTGAGCGCGCTAATCAAAAACGGAAATAAGGTTGTTTTTGAAGAAAACCAATGCTACATTCGTAACAATAAGAATGTATTGGTGGCTACAGCAATGTCAACAAATGGGGTATACAAGCTAAGTATCAATATAGCAGATTGTATGCTGGTAGCAAGTGCAGAGCTTTGGCACAGGCGGTTAGCACATATTGACAGCAATGATTTGAATAAAATGAAGAATGGCATTGTGGATGGATTGTCTTACCCGGATACTAGTGATATAACAATGACTAAATGTGTGACCTGTTGTGAAGGTAAACAAATGAGGTTACCATTTCTTCAAGTTGGACATATAAGTACAGAAACACTACAGATAATACATTCCGATGTATGTGGTCCCATGGAGACAAAGCCCATAGGTGGTGCTCAATATTTTGTCTTGTTCATTGACGATCACAGTCGTATGACTTTCATATACTTCCTCAAATATAAGAATGAAGTCTTCAATATATTCAAGAATTGTAAAGCAATGGCTGAAAACCAGCAAAATCAGAAAATAAAAATATTGCGCACAGACAATGGTGGTGAGTTTTGTAGCAGTGAGATGGAGAATTACTTACACAAAGAGGGAATTATCCACCAGAAGACAACTGCATACACACCTGAGCAAAATGGTGTTAGTGAACGGGCCAACAGAACTATTGTAGAGAAAGCACGATGTTTACTTTTCGATGCAAAACTAGAAAAGAAGTTCTGGGCTGAAGCAGCTAATACAGCAGTATACTTAAAGAATAGATCTGTGACTTCAAGTTTGGGAAATAAGACACCCTATGAAGAGTGGTACCAGAAGAAACCAGATTTAAGTCATATTCGTCTGTTTGGTAGCCCTGTAGTGGTTCACATACCAAAAGAAAGAAGATTAAAATGGGACAAGAAAGCCCAAATGAACATTCTTGTGGGATTTTCAGAGACAGTGAAGGGATATTGTGTATATGATCCTATAACAAATATTATAACTATTAAGAGAGATATAATAGTGATGGAAGAAAAGAAAGTATCATCAGAAAAGATTGAAGAAGACACAGCAGAATGGATACAGAATGATGTAGAAATTGAAGATCATGAATCTCCTACAATTGAAGATGGCAGAGATTCAGTGGGGGAGCCTTCAGTGAATGAATCTCTCCATGACTCAGATTCACATACATCTGTATATACTGATCCGTCTAGTGGCAGTGATGATGATACAAGCACCACAAACACAGATACAGATGTCTCGCTTAGTGAGATTCAAGATATAGCGGCATTACAAGAAGAAGATAAGAGAACACGAAGACCACCAGATCGTTTTGGGTTTGGTAACATGTGTACTACTAATTCTTGTTCAGAAGCCGAACAAATAGATTTTTATGAAGCACTGAATGGACCAGAAGCTGATCAGTGGAGAGAGGCCATATGAGAGGAACTTCGGTCATTCGATGACAACAATGCATGGGATATTGTTGATATACCAAGTGATGCATCAATTGTGCAAAACAAGTGGGTCTTAAATAAAAAACTAGATGTGAATGAAAAAGTGCGGTATCGTGCGCGACTTGTGGCTAAGGGTTTTTCACAGCGACGTGGAGTTGATTATGAGAACACTTTTTCTCCTGTTGTTAAACATTCTACACTGAGAATGTTGTTTGCTCTAAGTGTACAGTGGGATATGGACATTAGACATCTAGATGTTACTACAGCATTTTTAAATGGGCATTTAAAAGAAAATATTTATATGTCATTTCCAGAAGGATTTGTAAATAAGCAAACAGGTAAGATCTTGAAACTAAAAAGAGCTATTTATGGATTAAAACAGTCTTCTTTGGTCTGGTATGAAAAAGTGAAAGATTGTTTGCTTAAATTTGATTTTAAATTGAGTAAATTTGAACCATGCTTGTTTACATTTTTTTGTGGGAATGTCAAGATTATAGTAGCTGTCTATGTTGACGATTTTTTAATTTTTTCAAATAGTACTTCTGAGACTGAAAAATTGAAAAATGAATTAAGTTCTGAATTCAAATTGAAAGATTTAGGTCCTGTTAGACGTTACTTAGGCATGCGGATTATTGTAAACAAAGAATGTAAGACTATAAGTGTAGATCAGCAGGAATATATAGAAGAATTATTGTCAAAGTTTGATATGTCTGATTTTAAAACGATAGATACTCCGATTGAAAGCAAGTTAAACATAGAAAAGGCTGAAAATTGTGCAGTGAACATTCCATATCAAAAGCTCATTGGAAGTCTTATGTATTTGGCAGTTTTAACTAGGCCAGATTTGTCATATACTCTTAGTTACCTCAGCCAGTTCAATAACTGTTATAATGAAACTCATTTTAGCTATGCTAAACGAATATTAAAATATTTACAGAAAACCAAATATTATTGTTTAACATATCAGAAGGATAATGTAGAACTGACTGGTTTTGTTGATGCAGACTGGGCTAGCGATAGTCTAGATCGTAAGTCTTATACTGGGTTTTGTTTTGTAATGAGCGGTTCTGTGATTTCCTGGCAAAGCAAACAACAAAAGACTGTCTCCTTATCCAGCACTGAGGCAGAATATGTTGCTCTCTCAGAGGCATCTAGAGAGGCTGTTTACTTAAGAAATTTAATGTACGAACTTATTGGTAAAAGAAGGATTATTAAATTGAAATGTAATAATCAAAGTGCATTAAAATTGGCAACAAGTCATCAGGTACATGCTAGGTCAAAACATATTGATGTTCGCTTTCATTGTGTTAGAGATGCAGTTAAAAATAAATTAATTAATATTGAATACATTTCAACTCAAGAAATGCCCGCTGACTTGTTAACCAAATTTCTTTTGTCGACTAAGCATTATAAGTTCATGGACATGTTGGGATTTAAGGCTAAATAAGTAAAAACATGTATTTTGTTTAGAAATTCACATTTATTTTGTTATGTGGGGGTATTGGAATAGATAACAATATAAATCAAAATGTGTGAAGTAACGCCATCTAGGTTGTACTGTGTGTAACTATGTGTAGCGCGGTCAACTGTCATGTGGGTGAATATCAGTTATTGGGGAATTCAATGTTCCTGCAAAAAAATCTTAATCCAATGGACAAATTGTGGAAATAGACCATCCAAATAGTGGAAGATGTAAATGTTTAGTTGGAACATATGGCGATATTGAGGTAACCATTAAGATTTATAAAAAATCTGATTGAAAGTTAACAAAATGTATACTCCCCTGGCATGTTCCATTCCCAAATTTCACTACAAACATCAACAAATCTCTGTATTATGTACTGGTATAACAATAAGCGGATACTCTTTGTATTACCTAATACATCTGATAACATATTTTCGCAAAAAGACACACTAAAAATATACATAAATGCGTAAAAAAAACAGTTTATCAGTGGTTCCTGAGAACAGTGTCACCCTCACCTGGCGCAATTCAAATTGCATATATTCATGAAAATATGGCAACTATGCGACTTGACCTTGAACAGCAAGTGGCAAATGAAGAAGGGATAGTGCGAAACTATCGTAATTTGGAAAACGAAGGCCAGGGACGCGTCAGTAGCCCACTAACAGTCGTCCGATACCCTTTTGCCAGTGAGTGAAGCATTTCCCCTGGTAAGCATATCTTTGTGAATTTAAAAGTTACATTTTTGCGACTTTATAAAAAATTAAGATTTTTGAATACAAAAGCCATGAATCACGTTAAAATAATATAATAATCAACATATCTTGCTTTTTTGGGGCTTACGCACGTTTTTGTCACTTCCCTGGCGTCACTCCCCTGGCAGTTTTTATGTCAGGGGAAATACACACTGCCCAGGGGAAATACAAAGGCACCTTTTTGTATAAGATGTGTAGCTACTATACCAAATTCAACTTCAAGAGGCAGTAGATCTGAAATAGGTCAGGCATGAGGGGCCGGGCCAGACACGGCCAGACGCCTAGGGCCGTATTCAGTGCTCAAACGCTCATTGTCAGTGTTCATACCAATCTGTTACATCAATCAGCGGGCTTCATCTAAGAAGTTGCCTGGCCCAGTTTAAGGCTCTGAGCGGCCTGCTTCCTGCTCTTGAAGTTGAATGTGGTATAGACACTATTTCATTAATTTCAGATACCAAAAAAGCCATAACTCGCTAAAATGGCAAATTTACAAAAAAAGCAAACCCGAGAGGAAAGATTGGAGAAAAAACGCCAAGCAGAAAGACCACGCGACCAGCGAATTAAAAATGATCCAATCAAGAATGCTGAATTAAAAGAAAAAGATAAAGAGAAGTATCACAGAAAGAAGGAGAAAGTACAAGTTAAAAGTATAAAAGATCTGACAGATAGGGAACAGCGAGCTATGAGAAAGATATGGAGAGAGCAAACTGAAAGATATAGGGATCGTGTGAGGCAAAAAACTATTGTTAATTATCCAGAGTCACCGCCGCCTTCGGACCATGAAGATCCACACTTCGATCTTCAAATATTGGACAATAGAGCTTCAGGTGCCAAAAGACCGTAAGAAAAACAGAGGAAACGGATAAATGAGCTTATCAAAAAACAAAAAAACGAAACTGATCGATTAAAAAACAAGGTGAAGAGATTTCAAAGGAATCTAGATCACGTAAGAAGTCTAAAAATGTCACCAATGTCGAAATTGGACCGATTACTAAAAAAAAAACCAAACCAAGTAATCAGGAGAACGTGGAAGAAGTTAAAAAGCATCTGTCATTCAGTAAGGTAGTTCAAAATCAACTAAAAGAAAATATAAGCCATACCAAAAAGAAAAATGAGAAGACACTGTTTCGTAAAGTATTGAGTGGTAGGTTTGTTAGAAAGTACAATGTTTTAAGTCAAATTGATATGAAGCCTATGAAACGATAACCCACTGAGGGAGAGGTTTGATAGACGTGACAAGGAGAACAAGAATGAATGAAACTAGAGAGAAGATAAAGAACGTAATTAAAAATTTTTTTGAAGGAGACTGCAACAGTCGCTTATGCGCAGGAAAAAATTACTACATTACGAAAAACAAAGTAAAAAAACAAAAGAGGGTTTTACTAGACTCGATGAAGCATTTACACGCACGGTTCATCAAAACCAAAGGAGTGCCGATAAGTTATACTTCATTTTGTCGTTTGAGACCTTTTTGGATTGTATATCCAAACGTTCATAGAAGAGAAACATGTTTGTGTGTAATTCATTCAAATATGGAGTTGATTTTGCTCTCTTTAAGAAGAACGAAAATTATAGACTTTATGAGTTTTCAAGCAATGCTAAATTACTTATGTTTCTATCGCATGACATTTTCCGACATAAAGTTGGAAAAGTATTAGAAAGACTGCCGGTGCCAAATATAGTAATGAGAGGAAATAGATTATTTTATAAATTCAGAACTCCTATACCTGCATTCGAAAAATGAGTATCTACTCGAATTCATAAAAAATCGGGTTATACCTATGTTAATTTTATTTTTATGCTAGCTACCGTTTTTTATTTATAAGCACTGATTGCGATTCAAAGACTGACCATAAGTATTATGTCAATTTTTTGTTTTAAGTTTTTATAATTTTATTTCTATTATTATTATTATTATTACTCAGGTACCTACATTGCTATCTATATTGAGTTGCAATATATAAACAGCTATAGTGGTTTTTATTTATATTAGTTATTGTGTGAGCAGGGTTTGCTCTGTTGGTCCAAATGTTATTTTTTAAGAGACTAATAGAACATGTAGGATTTTGTTATTTTCAACAAAAAACTATTCAACCTATTGGTATTTATATTCTTTTATAAAGTATCCTTCAAGATCATTCACATGGGAAGTTGTCACTCTTCTGTCTCAGTTTGTCACTACCCTGTGTATAGTGTCACTCCCCTGACTACACATTTTCCCCTGATAGCTGTAAAATCTCTAAAAATCAAAAAACTATCTGGTCCTGTCAAAGATGCATCACAAATAGTGTAATCTTAAGAGGTAATGAATATGAAACTGAAATAAGTAATTTTTCTTAGGTACCACTAAAAACCCAAATACCTGATATTCACCCATGTATAAAATAAAAGTTAGTCTATTACGGAAAAGCAACGTGTTTTAATAGATGCATGGTTACTATATTTTAACAAATATAAAATTCAAAACTTTCAAGATGGCGCCTTAGTAGATTAAAAAAGTTATATTATGCTAAATTATAAATAAAAATATGTCACGCTATAATCACACGAATAATCACACCACATGGTAATATCAATGCCAAACTCATGCATTTTTGTTTCATCAGCAGAATCTCTGGTGTGGATGTTACCCAAACAAATAATTTGTAGAAAGGGCATTTTGTTATTATAGCACATCCCGTTTGGGAATATATACTCAACTTGAACTTTATATGTTTTCACAGACACCATCACTCAAATTTGACTAAATACCTGAATTGCAAGTTTTTCACAACTTAATCAAATCTTATCCAAAACTTTGTTATTGTAGCCTCTAGTCTACTTGAGACAGGTACATGATAGTCGTGAACTATAACCTGTGCAACATGATTAGTTATTATCAGTTTAAAACATCTTAAGTTTCTATATGATGAACAGATTTCAAAACAGAATGTCGCGAATGTACACAGATTATAAAAGAAAAAAATAGAGCCAAGACAATATCGCAGACAAATTCACTACTCTTAGATAGATAAGCTGTTGTGGTATATGGAAAAAGTTGTCAGATATCTGTATTTTACGCTATACTAAAGTAATAGTCCAGAATATAACAAAAATAAATTCAATTAATTGTAAATTATCATCTTGCTCAATGTCTTCTGAATGATATTATTTATGTGAAAAGGTATTCCCAGAAGCTGACACCTAAATGAAACAAACACTTCGCACTCTATTTTAAAATAGTACCAAAACTTTGAGATAATGAAAAAACCATATACCGATTCCGGAACAAAGGACGTTAGGTAATTTTGAAGTTGTGTTTCATACCTCGGCCGACGATGGATTGTGTTTATCTTATTAGATTTGTCAAAATGTGCAAAAGATCGTGCTAAGTAGCGACGACTTCGAAATATTGAACCGTCAAGCTTAACAAAAAGTGAATAATATTCATTAATTATTATTTTCAAATGCTCTATGAAAAATATTTAAGAGTATTGACCCAATGCTTAATCGAGAGGACTCTTTAAAGAGTTTTTCTATGTAATATCAATTTTTCCACCAGATTTATTATTAAAACTTTAAAAATAACAACCCCCAGCCAGATGCGGATTTAGAAATCTGTCAAGGAGGGGACTCAGTTGTGGTCATAGAATTCATGTTCAGGGTTCTATCGGCGATTGAAAATTACGGAGCGGTGAGTGGGATACGTCAAAGCTAATGTTCGCAACAAAGTACGGCAGTATGTACCATTTAAAAAAAATGGCAGCCTTTAACGCCCGCCGTGGCCCCTCTAAGTCTGCTCATGCCCATAACCTTCCTTATAAAAGAGGATACCCCCAGCTTCGGTCCGTGAAATAAAATATAGTGTAGATTTTTTCTCGTTTTACGAGTTCAAAAGTCGTACGAGTTGTGTTTAGCGTCAATTGATGTATCACCCCTTTTCCTTAAACCTGATTCCAACTCACAAGAGTGAAAGAAACTCAGATTGTGGCGCATTTCTAACACGATATCTGTCATATTGCTGAGTAATGATTCAACTGAACGGTAAGTGCAAATAGTATATTGATACCACATTGACCTATGAATGAAACTAGAGAGAACTACGTGGTTGCCAGTGTTTGTGGATTCCACCTTAGCCGCGGGTAGTATAATCATGAACGTATCTTCGTAACCAGAGAGCTGAACTTTTTAACGCTCATTTGACTTCTTTTTTCAAAACAATCATTTTATCTTTGAATAATTCAGCAGTTATTCAGAAATGTCTTCAGATGTTATGGATTTTTGAAGGTATTCAAATACCACTTGGTATGAGAAAGAAATCTATTTTTGGTAGAGCAAATACTACTTTCGAACAGCTAAAAGAATTAAATTCATAAATACTAAAGTCAGTTTTGGCAAATCTTACCACGCAGTTGGAACAACATGTCAAATCCTTTAATTTACATGATCACTGAGGTCACGTGTTAGCTCAATGTGCCCTCAGTTTAAATATAGGGCATTATTAAGCACTGTTGGGGTATGGAAAAACGAGGTCACGCGATCCAAATCGTCACCATTTGACCGCCATATTTATAAATGACCGCCAAGTTTACAAAGGTTACTCAACATATCTTCTTAAATTTTTTAAAGCTCGTTTTACTCATTTTTTTTAAGGCAAAGATATAAATAACCCAATAATTATTGAGGTGTACTAAGGATCTTAATCTTTGAAAATGTGTTTAAGTTACAGTTCTTTACCTGTAAAGTGGTCTGTCTTTGCTAGGGCTAAAACCAAGTTCGAACTGTTGAAAGTACAGCATTTACTAATCCTGCCACAAAATAGAAATAAGTAATCGAAATCTTTCGAAGGTGGTAACGCTGACTGTAAGACAGGGTGCTATAGTTGGTAACGTGTGTATGGATATGTGCTTTGAACGTTAATTTGGAAGTTGATGAAATGTATTTAGTATGTATGTAGTATTTGAAGAAAAAGATTTCGTGATTTGAGTCATAAGTCATATTTAGAAATGGCGACCGAATCGCAAAATACTTCATAGGGCATATATTTGAATAGTTATTGGATTATTCGAAAAATGTATGACATCAAAACACGTAGTCCTATTTTATGTAGTTGATCTTGGCCGGTATTTCAAGTCCCCTATGTTATCATCCGTTGAATTCTAATTCTATACTAAAGTTAATACTACCAAAAATTCAGCAATTCTAAACATCTTTTGATCTTCTCTATAAGATGAGTTACGATCACGAGTCTTTTTGTACCAAGAAGTTTGTCTTTTACCACACTAGAATCACTTGTACTCTTATGGAACATAAACATCCAACTTGCGAATATGGTTTTTGTAACTTGAATAATATTCAGTATATCGTGTGTGAAACACAATACCTTGTATTAGTATCAGTACAAACTACAAGTAAATTGACTTATTATTATTACACCATACTTTTTATGGAATAGGACCGCAGTGACATGTAGTTACAAGTATAGTAAGTGCAATACTGTCAAACAAATGACAATTCGTAGAAACGTTGATTTGTAAAAGTGCTTTAAGGAAATTATGCATTTTAATCAGTTGATTCAGCGAGACATTAACGAAAGCATATGCATGGAACATCCTAGAAAAATGAGACTGGCGGTCCGGTAAGAGCTTTCCGAAGAAAGACACGTGACAGTGCTCCAGAAATACTTGTACTCCCTTATCGTCCAATCATCGTATATGATACTTTTGAAGAACATGCTTTGACAATTTTTTGGAAAAGAGGGATATCAAGATATCAGAATCCTCCCTAAAAAGTGCTTCTAGTATAGTTCAAATAATGTAGGAACAAGGTCCATTCAAAAATGGAACGGTTCAATAGAATTAAAAATAATTAAAAAAAAGTTTGTAGAGAGAACATCTCAAGTTTCAATATGTGACAGGAATTAAGATATTAGAAATGAATCAACTGTATTTGAATAAAACGCTACGTTAATCGATTCAGATAAATTCATGTATTTTGTTTCCGCCGAATTTGTGCAGTTATTCATAATCACCTTGATTGGTAAGTATGTTATCATTCACTGCATTTGAATTCTATATTAAAATTGCTAAAACCCTGACACATCACAGATCTTATTATGCCTGTTTGAACTATTACTTGACTTTTTCTCTGTACGCAATTGTACCAAACAAGAATCACTCGTAGAAAGTGGATTTGATATAAAAAGATAAATATTACCACTTCTCTCATGGAACGTAAATATCTGACTTGTGAATATAGTATTTATTGCAACTGTGTGGAAAGTGCAATACCCTTGAAAGGACGTTCAGATGGCTGTTTTCACTCCATTTCAAATAAAAAACCTTTTGGTAATTGATATCCGCTTATACTACATCACAGTGATGCCACGCATATCCACGTTTTCAAAAGGATATAATGGGAACTAAAACTTTGCATGGCTACCATAACATCGTATTGGATTTCCCATTTGTTTGATTGCACATAAACATTCAAAATTCTCTCGCAAATCGGTACCTCTCGAATGTTAGAAGAAAACCCTCATTTCAAAAGTCGACAAAAGTAGTACCTATCAATCATGCACAAGTCTCAAAATATTCTCGATGGATCGTATTTGTCAAATTTCTCACACGAAAATTTGCTCTTTTGATAATCATCTACCTAAGGTAAAGAAAGGAGTTTATAACTATCAGTGAAAACATTGTAAACCATAATTTCTAGTTTCTGTACACAACAATAGCCCGATTGAGAAAGTGCTACCATCTAGATGCAAAGTTAATACTTACAGTCTCAAGATTTAGCTGTACTTCTCTGATCTTATATAAATAATTTCCCATCTGATGCATTTACTCTATTAACAAGTGCTACCTTCCTAGCAATTCCAGTTTCTAAGCCTTATCGCTAGAATCATTATTCTTCAGATCTCACATGAAAATGTCTTCCTCCAAAGTTTGCTCAAATGAAAAAACTGCAGTAACCCCACAGGTATACTGCAATGACTTTGAGTTTCAAAGCACATACATTAACCGTGAGGTAAGATCCTCAAACGATAATAAAAAACACGCATGAGGTCATTCCTCGGAATAAAGAAGCTTCCCCACATTAAGTTGCTAATAATAAACCTGTAAAGCAGGCACGTACAGCCTTCCGCTTATGATAAATCCACACATAGAGTCGCCCACAGGTGCACGCACGTGCCTACACGAGCACAAAACCCGTGGTTCCAAAACCTTCTCGCCGCCTTACAATGAATTTGTATCTACCTAATTCAAGGCCAACTTTTGGATTGCCAAAAAACTAAATTCGCATGTACTCTCAAAATTAACGGTATGCGGTATTCATTAATACAAACCAAAAGTGCTTTCTACAACATATGTGTGACTATAGGTATAGTGTAAAGCATCTCAATTGAGGTCATTCAATAACTTAAGGCTTTTATCTTACTGTACCTACCATTCAACCTCCTACCGTTTCTGACATTCTTTCACCTAACAACGTCATTCCCTGAACGAGTCAATCTACTTGACGTCATTTATTAATGCATGTTGGAGTGTTTCACTCTCCCGCATAGACCACATTTCGCAGACGCTCGCGAAATGTATCTTAATCCATCAAATATCGTTATTATCTGAATGAGTCAACCTACCTGACGTCATTTTAATGCTGTACGATGGGGTGTTTCTCTCTTCTGCACGGACCACATTTCGCAGACGTTGACTAAATGTATCCTAATTCGCCCGATATCGTTATCTCTGAATAACTCAACCTACTTGATGTCATTTTATTGTTGCACGATGAGGTGTTTCACTCTTCTGCAGGGACTGTATTTCGACTCTTCTGCATGGACTGTATTTCGCAGACGCTGACGAAATATATCCCAATCCCTAATTAAGTTATTCCTTCAATGAGTCAACCTACTTGACATTATTTTAATACTGCATGTTGGGAAGTTTCACTCTTCCGCATAGACCACATATCGCAGACGCTCGAGAAATGTATCTTAATTCGCCCAATATCGTTATTCTCTGAATGAGTCGACCTACTTGATGTCATTTTATTGTTGCACGCTGGGGTGTTTCACTCTTCTGCACGGACCACATTTCGCAGACGCTGAAAAAATATATCCCAATCCCTGATTATTCTTTGACCGAGTCAACCTACTTGACATCATTTTTATGATGCATGGTGAGCTGTTTCAGATTCCTGCAAGGATAACATTCCGCAGACGCTCACGAAATGTAACCTAATCCGCTTATTTACGGTATTTCTTGAATGAGACAACCCACTTGACGTCATATTAATGCTA